TTGTACTTCGCATCTCGCACAATGCGGTCGTTCGGTTAGGCTGAGATATGTTTGTTTAATTGTCAAAATCTCAGTCAGAATCAGTTTTTTAACAAATTTGAAATAATTCCTATGAAATATTATATTTCACAAGTGTCAATACTAGCAACGGAAAATATTATGTCGGCCGTTTTCATGTGTGATAACAGAACCTAAATCGAGGTAAGGGTAGGCCTAGCCTCGCAGCGTTGGATAGGCTAATGTTTTCGGCGCCTACGATATTTCTTCTCCCGACCTATCGCAAAATCAAACATGAAAATTCATCCGCATTTATTTTTTTGTGTGGAACACAAAAAAAAATCAAATTTCAGTCTTATTTTACATTTTTTTCATTCTTAGGAATGTCTAAATTCAGTTAAACTAGCAATTCCATATTATATTTATAAATCTTTATAACATTATACAAAAATTAGATTTTTCTTAAAAACTGAAATCTTGCCGGGAATGGGGCTTTAAAAGGGCCGAATAGCAAATGCGCCGAACAGAAAAGAGCCACCAAAGGCAGTAACGGCGTTCCATAGCTATTTATTATCTTTGTTATAATGATTATACTCTTTTGTACGGTAGAATGATTTGGCAAAATTGAAAATTGAATACCCGCAGCAGGAACGAAATCAAGAATAGTAATTGTGCAGTGATTGCCTGCTGTACCTAAAGCACCTACTCTAGCTAGACCTAGCCGTTGATTTCGTCGCATTTTCAATACAAATCTCTTAATAACATGGTAAGTAGTAAAATTAAAAATATAGTTAGGGCCTAGGCCTATAGGCCTAGGCCTAGCTAGCCTGTGCCTAGGCCTAGCCGGCGCTAATGAACTTTCGCACCTAGCTTTTAATTCCACTCACAAAGTACCTTTTTCAACATATACCTAAGCCCACAAATAACTACAGCGAATCTGTGTTCGCTAGCACGACGAGCGGCTGCCATTTTGCAGCATATTCATTTTGCAATCAGTAAGAAATTGCCAGAACTTTTAATTCTTAATATTTTTACTTCAATGTTCTTCTCACAGTCACAACATATATAATTAACAAACATGTTCAACATGATTTAACCACTCACAAAGTACCTTTTTCAACAAATAAGTACAGCGAATCTGTGTTCTCTAGCGCGACGAGCCGCGAATGCTGCCATTTTGGAATGGCGGCATTATCTATTTGCCTTCTTGTACATGTCATTCTTTATATTGTATGGTGCTGTTGTTTGACTATGTGTGTTCACATGAAAATTAGTAATGATCCAAATGCGCAATTCGAATACAGATCATTTCCGTCGCGCTTCGTTTCGGTTGCGCCTCACTTCGGTCTCGCTTCATTTCGGTCGCGGTTTGTTTTCAACAAATATATGGAGCGCCAATGGAGTTGCGAAGTTCGTCAATCGGTTTATCATACTTTTTTTTTATTTGTTTTTTTGTCTTTCTACTAAAGTAAACATAGGCTACTTAAAAAAAGCAAATAAAATGAATATTATTATTACTAAACTAAATTTCAATTAAAGCCCCATTCCCAGCAAAATTTCAGTTTTGAAGAAAAATCTAATTTTTGTATAATGAATGTTATAAAGATTTATAAATATAATACGTTTAACTGAATTTAGACATTCCTAAGAATGAAAAAAATGTAAAATAAGACTGAAATTTGATTTTTTGTGTTCCACACAAAAAATAAATGCGGATGAATTTTTCATGTTGATTTTGCGATAGGTCTTGAGAAGAATTATCGTAGGCGCCGAAAACATTAGAAAACAAACGCTGCTAGGCTAGGCCTAGCCTTACCTCGATTTAGGTTCTGTTATCACACATAAAAACGGCCGACATGATATTTTCCGTTGCTAGTATTGACACTTGTGAATATATATTTCTTTCACAGGAATTATTTCAAATTTGTTAAAAAACTGATTCTGAGATTTTGACACTTAAACAAACATATCTCAGCCTAACCGAACGACCGCATTGTGCGAGATGCGAAGTACAAAAACTAATCTCATTAGAGAGGGCGCACTTTATTGACTGTATAAAGTATACATAAAAGCGAGAGTATTCCAGTGGATGCGATCTACAACCTCTGAATTTGCCTAGTAACGATGAATTCGTAAAAATGGTAATATTTTATGAGAAATAGTCTGTATTTCTCATTTTTTTTATTCTTTTGCGTAAAACTAAATTCATGCCAATATTTTTCCATGATTTATAATAATTGGAGTAATGTAAATGCATATTTTCTAAAAAAAGTCAGTTTTTAGTGAAATTTTGCCGGGAATGGGACTTTAATATTAAGTTTGTTGCATTCCTAGTACCATTTTACTCTTTTATCTGACGGTTTTTATTTTCGTTTTGTTATCGATCCTACTACATAACAAATACAGCAAATAAAATGGACCGATTTAAGTAAAACTTGGTCAGTAGGACCGGTGCCTCAAAGTCACAAGTTTAGTTCCATTCAGTTGCGTTCAGTTCCTTTCAGTTCCGTGTCAACCTGAGCCTGCCTTTATGGCAATTATGTTTATTGTACACCATCTTGACCAACGAGTTTTACAGGTTAGTGTGGTGAAGTCCACAGCAGCGCGATGTCATGTTCTCGTGGTGTTGTTGGTTGACAGTTGGTGTGTTGTGATTTGTTTTCTCATCACGCTTGGAGTATTCTAAAACCTAGCTAGTGAAAAAAAGTAGACTGCTTGATTTTTGCGGTTCTAAGCGGATTTTTATATTCTCGTTTCAGTTCAAATTGGCAAATTTTTTTGTCGATTACTCACATGATATCTTATAATAATGCATTTGAACACATAGTGAAGAGAAAATGTATGCCCGGAGCTAAAGTAAAGTTAAAGTAATTAAAAACAATGATAATGTGCATATAAAATCCAAATCTTGTAAAACTGAAGTTAAAAATTGAGGATTTAGGGCCTATAAATGAATCATTTTCCCGTCTCAAAAATTTCGCTGTCTAGGAGGTTCTCTAGAAGGGATTCGTCCCCATGGCCCATGCTCAGAGTTAAATAGGCCTACAGTGCTTTTCTTTCGTTGAGAGGTAAGCAATTTTATTTATTTTGCAATTAAATGAAAGGAGTATGTGTCGGGCTGTAAAATATTAAAGGAGTTTTAGATATGCGACGACGAGTAATCTAGGACAATATGCTAATTATCTATGACGTATTACAATGTTGGCCACACAGATGATAAGCTCTTGTTTTAGTTTTGCGACGATGATGCAAATACATACGTCACCACCGGACATGCTTGAGTGAATTGAAAATAAACACTGTACTAATATTAAATGCCATATTAAATGGGCATATAGGCCTAGGCCTGCCCTTAATACAGGTAATAAATATTATACTATAGGCCAGGGCCTAGGCTTTTGTGGGGTTAGGTTTATACTGTGTAGGCCTAGGCCTAGCTAGGTTAATGATCAAAAGTACAGTACAAGCATATCCTTCAATTGTAAAAACAATATCAATCATACTTATATTTTTTCAAATTATATGTCAAACACATCCATGAATCATTCAATGTAAAAATAAATCCAAAGCTTCCTTTTATAAATAAAACTGTAAAGTTTTGTACTACTGTAGCATACATGCTGTACCAATAATGTTTCTGCACTGAATGAACTTGAAACTGTTGCGTACGCTGTGTATCACCAGGGAGTTGTTATCACTATAACAATGCCCTGGTATCACATTTCGCGCTTTTTAACAAATTATAACATTGTTAAAATTTATTGTTATGTTCCTCCCCTATAGTAAACATCTTATTATCTGTCTCTTATACACATCTAGATGTGTATAAGAGACAGCACACATCCTAGGCAGGTTGTATAAGCCCAGTG